CTTTTACTGGAAAAACCACCTCTGTGGTACTAAACTCTACTCACTTGGTATCGACAATCAAGGGTATTTCCCTGTCCCCAGACGACCTGCTTGTCAGTTTTGATGTGGTTTCCTTATTCACCAAAGTTCTTGTAACTGACACCATTGCAATCATTGAAGACTTGGTTCATCAAGGACTGCATACTGATGAACCCGCCCTGGTGAGACACTGCTTAACCAACACATACTTCACCTGGAATGGAACTTTCTACAAACAAACTGAGGGCACCCCAATGGGCTCCCCCCTATATCTGGTTGTAGCCAACGTGTTCATGGCAAAAATTGAAACCGACGCCATCCAGACTGCTACTCTACGCCCGACCTTATGGAAGAGGTACGTGGATGACACTTTTGTCATCTGGCCACATGGCCGGCCTGCTCTAGACCAATTCCTCGACCACATCAACTCCATACACCCAGCCATCCGATTTACCATGGAAGTCGAAAAAGATGGCAAGCTACCCTTTTTCGATGTCCTAATTAAAGGAGACCTGATGGTTCAATGAGCCACTCTGTCTACAGGAAAGCTACCCATACGGATGCTTACTTAAAACCGGATTCCCACCACCATCCATCCCAGAAAAACTCCCTCATCAAGACTCTATACCATAGAGCCCAATGCATTTCCGACCAGGAACACATTGCCAGTGAACTCAAGCACGTACACCAAGCTCTCAAGGCTAATGGTTACTCCGACTACACAATCCGCAAAGCCATAACTTCAGTCATGAAGAAGGATGCTCTTGAGGAGCCATTCAAAACCATGACTTTACCCTACATTGCGAGAAACCAAACGACATCTCGAACCGCATCCGTGAACATAAAGCAGACTTGAAACACGGTAGGACGAACTCCTCAGCCGTGGCAGATCACTGTTATAATTCAGTGGGCTCACATGACATTGACTTCTCCAAGGCGGAGGTTCTTTGCAAGCCATCCGGCTACCAACAGAGATTCGTTCATGAGGCCATCCACATATACAAACACAGAGACAATTTCAACCGAGAAGATGGATTCTGGCTTAGTAACCATTGGAAAGATGTTATAAACCATTTCAGTTCTTAATTGATTGTATTTTACGGTGACCTTCAGACCGCAGTCAATTCGCTGGCACTGCCTCTTAATACCTTTCACACGACGGTCAATGGTATGGTTTATAGCATGTTGTATAATAATAAATAGTATAACATTGTAATGTTTAACATAATTCATAAGGCAATATATAGTATCGTAATTGTATAGTGTATATACAGCAGTGTGGTATACAGTAAAGTTGGTAGAATAAGACATATTGTAATATTACAAGTCTAATATTTTATTGTCTAAAGTATAGGGTAGTGTATGGTAACGCATTGTATAATTCAAAGGTGGAATTTGTCTATGGATATGATATTATACCATGTAGTTTAGACTGGAAGGTATAATATTGTATTATGTAGTAGTCCAGTTTATAGATAGTTATAACGCAACACAGGACAGAGCAGCGCACGGTGGCTGTTTTATTTTTTCTTCTTTTTTACCCAGCCCCCCTCCTCAGTTCCGAAGCTTGTCCCTCATATTAACATGCTAATTCATATGTCAATTCCTCCCACACAGCTTCAAAGACGCTGTCCATGCTTGGCAGTGTTCACTCAAGCGCTGTCTTCTGGACAGTCCTGTTTCTTCACCTGAAGAAGGCTACTTGTGTTGTGGCCGAAACGTCGTGAGAATTGTATTTTATTATGTTTTATTTTTATTATTTTATTTACATTCTACGTGACTTTACCGAAAGAACCAAGAAGATGAATCCCTGCAGTCACGAAAGCTTTAAGTCGAAACTTTGTGCGTAGTCAACCATCCGAGTAGACTCACCCCCTACCATAGGCATGTTGAGTTTTCACCCCTCGCTGAGTGTTGTCAAAGGGAAGTCAGCACGAACCAGACAAGTCTGAGCCGGAATTTATTTTGGCAAGTTTAAAACCCTTACAAGCAGAATTAACAGGGGACTGACAAATAAAAAAAAACTCACTTAAACTTTTCTAAACAGTTTTCACGGTACAGTACCTCATTCGAGACCCAAATATCGTATCTCCGGGGGTTAACATTCCTCGAAGACGCCAGTGTAACCATCAACCGCATCAGAGCATCGACAGGCCAAATGTTCGCATCTCCTTCCATAAATGAACCAAAAAAGACAAGCCATAGAAAGAAGTGTCATTGTGGCATTTAAACCCAAAATACGGACCCACGGAGTAAACCACTGTGCTCTGCGCTCCTTCAACGGAGGAGGAATAGCAAAACTACACGAACCCCCTCCTGAAGCCCTGAACCATATTGCTGCCGTATACGCAAGCTGGTACCAGCCCGTCCTACGGAGGGGATGAATCAATGCACAGCGCGGGTGACCCCACATACACATCCTTATTATATTTCGCCCTCCGTCGCGCTGTCGATTTTGCAATGCCGCGCATCACCCGCCAGGTGGCACTACCACACATCTCGAGCACCATTCGCATTGCAGGAAACGATCAATCACTTAATTTCAAAGAGGCCGCGGAGGCCCTTCCGCTTCGAAGGTCGTAAACAAGAGCTGACCATCAATACCATACTCCTACTGCACTTTGGAGGGAAGTGGGCTCTTCTCCCCACACCGTGTAGCAATGCTGTTTTAGTGCACTTTATAAAGTTGCTCCGCCACCCGGATGTACTCGTGTCAGTTAGGGTACACTTTGTAAAATTATGCATTTGCCCACCCGGATGTTATTGCTGCATTGGGGCACGACGCTGTAAGGCTGCTCACCCAGGTGGTGTTGCGGTTTTGGGGTGCACTTTGCTTATGTACTCCGCCACCAGCACAGTATTTTTTATTACCCTATTGGGGCACACTATCTTAAAGTTCCTCCTCTCCCATCCGCACCACCCACACAGCCCACATTTCCTCCGTCCCGTGGCTGACACTGTTGGTGTGCACCTTGTAAACTCTTACTTACCTTTTTATAACGAAAGATAAGTATACCTTTCTTGTTCAAATGAACATTGAGGCTGTGCTCATCTCGCGATTACGGCTCTGAGCCAGTGACGGAAATTCCATATTCCTATGGCGGGGGAGTCTATCCACAGGGCAACCACAAATCGTTACTGGTTTAATTGACCCTCGAGGGATGATGGGCCAAGTGAACCCCAAACCAGGATTTAAACTGCGATGTGCTCGCTCGACTGCTGAGTAAGCCACCAGGCCGGTTATTAGCGACTATTATCACCCAGAAATGTCTGTCCGTCCCGCGCGTGACGTCACTCCACATGGGCCCCCTCCGCGTGACGTCACTTCACATGAGGCCCTCCCTCATTAATATTCATGAGTGGGTGGATTTTGACACTGACGCAGAGGAAGGGCGACATGAATTAAATAATTTATTACGCAAAGTCGCTTCAAATATGACGACGTTTCTTTACAGAAAGTGACGGTAAAAAATAAATATCCCCAGCACAGCGCTACGTCCATGCGTGACGTCACTGCAAAAGAGCCCCCCCCCCCTTCATTAACATTCATGCCCACGTGGAAATTTACACTAACGCACAAGAAGGTCGCGCACTCCACATACCGCACCCCTCCCCTCATTAATAATCATGAGCGGTTGACGTCACTCTCAATGCCGCACCTGTCCACAATAACCATGAGGGGGTGACGTCATTCCACATGCCGCACCCCTCCCCAATAACCATTAGCGTGTGACGTCACTAAACATGGGGAAACCCCCCTTATTAATTATCATGAGCTGAACATTTATTCTATTGAATATGAATGACACATTCCTGCATTCCTCCAGACGTGGCAAGATCGGAAATCGCTGCAATCCTCAAAAACGCTAAGACACCTATTAGCAACATCAGCAAGGATGAGCGCTTTGAGCTTTCTCAACTAAAAAAGAGAGATGACAGAATCATCCTCTCACCCGAAAAGGACAATACCACTGTCATCATGGACAAAACCACATACAATATCAAAATTCAGGACCTACTTAACGATGGCAGCTATACCAAAATCAATAGAGATCCTACCAACAGCCTGGTTACGAAAACCAACATCACTGATTCGGCATCTTTAATCGAACCAACCCAGCGGCTCTCTCTAAAACCCTCTGCTGCTAGACCTTCCAGATTTTATGGCTTACCAAAAATCCATAAAGAAGGTACACCACTCCGTCCTATCGTCTCCACCCACCTACAAACTGGCCCGATTTCTAAGACCTTACATCTATTCACTGGCAAGACCACCTCAGCGGTACTTAACTCAGCTCACTTGGTATCTCTAATTAAGGGCATCTCACTAGCTTCAGGTGACTTGGTTGTCAGGTTCGATGTGGTATCTTTGTTTACCAAAGTTTCTGTGCCTGACACCATTGCAATCATTGAAGATTTGGTCCAACAAAGACTGGTGTACCTGCCCTGGTTAGTCACTGCCTCACCAACACTTACTTCACCTGGAATGGAACATCCTACAAACAGTTGAAGGTACCCCAATGGGTTCTCCCTTATCAATTCTTCAACCACATCAATTCCATACACCCAGCCATCAAATTCAATACGGGCAAAAACATGTTTTTCAAACTAAATTTCCCTGTACAAAGAATGCGGAGTATAAACCGTACGGGTCGGCACGATTATGGATTTACGTCTCATCGGATGCCTCAATCACAAATAAATACTCCCGATTATGAAACTCCCCGCACTGGCGAGCTGTATTTGGGGTACACTATGCAATACTTCTCTCCTCCAATCCACCCAACCACCACCACCGAGATTTAGTTCCGGGTTTTGGGGTACACTCTGCAAAAGCGCCGCCGCCGAGATTTAGTTCCGGGTTTTGGGGTACACTCTGCAAAAGCGCCGCCACCGAGATTTAGTTCCGGGTTTTGGGGTACACTCTGCAAAAGCGCCGCCGCCACCGCCACTGCCCCGCCCCCCACCAACCACCTCCTTCCGGTCGCGTGGCGGCGCTGTTGCTGTTTCGTGACGCGCTTGTTGGCAGTCGCAACTTTCACGTTGCAGCGCTCGCAAGCCGGAGGCGATTGCGGAGGGAAAGAAAAAAAATTCAAGCCCGGCGGCGGAATCGGCAGCAGACGAACGAGCCCGGCCCGGCCCGGCCTGGCCCGGCAGCAAGCAGCACGCCATGGCGAGACGGGCACCGCTGCCCGCACCGGGCCGCGAGGGCCTCGCGAGCGCCAAATGCTTCGCGCTGGGCCTCTGCGTGGTGGCCCTTCCCCTGGCCTTCGAGGCGGCCTGGTCGGGCGTCGGAGGCCGCGTCGCTTCGGTCGTCTACCTGGCGCTGGTGAACGCGGGGCTGCTGGTCGCCTACCGCGGCCGACACGACCTCTACCAAGTGCGGAAAGACGGCCCGAGACTCCTTTCTTTCCTGCCGCCGCCGCCACCGCTGGTGGTGGTTGTTGTGGTGGTGGCGGGGCTGAAGCTACTGCCCGTGGGCTGATCGCGGCCCTCTGCTTAGCTTCGCTTCGGGCGTTCTGGGGGGGGGGGGGGGGGTTTCGCGGCGGCGGCGGCCACTTGCAGGGTTACCCGCTTCGTAGCGGCGGCCGTCAAAGTCGATGTTTTAAATCCCCAGTCGGAGCGGCACTCATCCGGTGCTATCCATCACGCACGCATTTGGAGCTGGCAACACTTGTAATGTTAACCTGATAAGTTGTGCCGCTGCAAGGCGCGCGGTTGTGTGGGGGGAGGTCTCTGTGCAGCGCATTAATTGACTGTGCGTGCCGATGTGTTGATGATGATGATGGGGAGTGGTGGTGCTGTGGTTCGCGCGCCACAAAACCCGGCGACCCGAGTTCGATTTGCCGCTCGCTTACGGCCAACATCGGTGACAATTATCTTGTACCGGTACCTAGGCCTCCCCCTAGGTCCACTCAGTCTCAAATGGGTACGTGGTGCGGTGTGTAAAAACATCGCCACTGGGGAGACAAAGGCGGCCGGGTTTTTGCACAGTTCCGCCCTTAATAGGTGTCTCGCTAACAGCACTTGCCCCAACAGTCTGTCAAGGCTACACGGGGGATCTTTGTCCTTGTGATGATGGCCCGCCAGCCAGAAGTGTTCATCATAATTAGCGAGTCTTAAGTTGACCCGGACTGACCCCCCGGATGGGCGTGAGGCCGTGGGTGGAACAGGAGGACAGCCGCCAAAGAGGCCGAGTTCGGGCTTGGGAAGAGGCAGTGCATTGAGATAATTTGGATGATTTTGCCGCAGCAAATGTCCACGCGATGATAAGCCACTTTCTTGAGCTCTCGTTTGTGGCCAGGTCGCTTTGGAAAAAAAAATTGCTTTCTAACTCAGTGGGTCTTAGCAGGTAAAATATTTTGTTTTTATCACTCAGCCCTCATCTCACTCTTTTGCCCTTTGCTAAGGTTCTGACAAATAAGATCATACATCGGTGGACTTTATCTGGTAATATAAAATAATTGTATTTGTTTATTTTTAAGTGATTTGTTGACTTTCTTGTACTTTGCACTCCGATCGTGTTTTTGTACTGTTTGAGCGTTCTTCTCCGTCCTTACTGGACATCTATGAAAAAAATAGCTTTATAACTCATCGAATTCCTCCAGTATAAATAAATACTCTGGTGATTCTGAAATAATTGTATCTTTGTACAGTATGTATGTTGAACTTCTTTCACACCGTAACGTAGCCAACCGTACCAAACGGGGGGTGCGGGCCGATACGTGGGCACGGCAGGATTGGGCGGGCGGTCACTGTGAAAGAGAGACAGGGAGCGACAGGAGACGAGAGGGCTTGGCGTAGACACACACACACGGGACAAGGGGAAACAGGCACGGAAGAAATACCCAATTGGTGTTGAACTTGTGTGTGTGCTGTGTGTGTGCTGTGTGTGCCTCGCAGGTGGCTGTCAGAGCATGCTTCCTGGGCTTCGCGTTTGGCTGCGGTTTGATTCTCAGTTTGAGCAACACATCTTGGAAGCATTTTGGCTGGTATTGACAACGCGTTGCCTGCAAAATAAAACACGGACACATCACGTTCCTCTTCGACGCCACAAGTCCCATTTTTGCGTGGAGTCGGTCGCTCGGATTATCGCCCTCCGTGGAACTTATTTTCTGCTCCTCTTCTCAAAGTGGCATCCATTATCCTCGTATTTTGTTCCACTGCACCCTCCCATCCCACCCTTGGTCTCTCCTTACTCCTGCCCTGCACCAGAGAGGCTTCTCCATCGAGGCCCTTCTAATTTCATCTTGTTCGCAACACATGCCCACAACCATCTAAATCGAACAAATGTAACAAATATTTTTACTACAACACATTTGTAAACAGATGCAATCGATGCTGCCCATCTAGTAAATGCCCCCACGTTATCCCTTGAGGGTGCAGGATGAGGCAGGCTTAATACAGTGAGACTTCGCTGATCCATGCTGATACAGAGGGGTTTATGGGCTAATCCCATTCATCATCTGCCACGGTTTAGCCACTGCTGGATGAAGGCCTCCCTAAGCCGTCGCCATCTTTCACGGCCCTGCGAAGCAACAATCTTTCCGGCGTCTGCACGCGGGCACATTTCACTGCGCCATCTCTGCAGCGAACGTCATCTTGGGTGCGTTTTCTTTTTTGGCTGCCATTCGTTTTGACCACCGTCCATCGTCCCTCCTTGTAACGTCTCCTGCTCATGCCCACGTTGCTCTACCTTTATAAATAGTTGGAGCGTGGTGTTTATACTTTTTATACACTCACTCATCCATGTTTGTTAACTGTTAAACCCAGTGCGTCCCCAGTTATGTGCAAGTAGGTATATGCGTGTTCTGTTCCCTGTATAAGCAGTTATCAATCGATCAGTGTTTATTTTATGTGCCAATATCACCCTCGATAAAGTAGACATCGGTGCACATTACAGGTGCGTGTCGTGTTCCGGTCCGTCACCTCGTGCGCGCGACCCTGTATCCCCGCGTGCCCAGGTACGTGTGTTCGTTGAGCTTCTTCCACTACTCGGAGTACCTGGTGACAGCGCTCATCAACCCGCGGAGCCTCAACCTCGACTCGTTCCTGCTCAACCATAGCCTGGAGTACAAGCTGGCCGCCGTCGCCTCTTGGGTGGAGTTCACCCTGGAGATGCTCCTCTTCCCCGGTGCGTGTCCACCACGCGACCACCACGCGCCCAAGGGTGCCTACAGGAGGTCGTGGGTTCATTCCCGACCCTGGCGCCTGCTGTATATTTTTGGAGTTTGCGGTGTCCACATCTAGTAATTTTGCCTATAACGTTCTTCAATAGCAAGTCATCAATTTCTCACACAATTCTGGGTGTTCTCCCGCTGGCTGGCGGGTTTGCGTTGGGGCCGGCGCTCACCAGGCCTGAAAGACGTGCGGTGGCTGAGCGTGGCGGGGCTGGCCATGGTCGTGGGAGGCGAGGCGCTGCGCAAGGCCGCCATGCTGACGGCCGGCTCCAACTTCAGCCACATCGTGCAGAGCGAGCGCTCCGAGAGCCACCAGCTGGTCACGCGCGGCGTCTACGCCTTCTCGCGACACCCCTCCTACGTGGGCTGGTTCTACTGGAGCATCGGCACGCAGGTGCGTCCGCGTGCGTCCCGTCGGCGTGGTGGGGAAGGGGTAAGCGACAAGCGTTTGGCGCTCACCGCTACCTCTCCCCCAGCGTGTTCCTGGCTCCCCCAAACGCAGACGTCGTGAAAATCTCCTTGAAACAAGGGCGCGGTGCAACCCGACAACACGTCGTAGCGGCATGCCGCCCCTTGTTTGCTTTGGCGAATTTTCACGAGACGCTGCTGCCGCCCCCGCCGCTACTGCCACTGCTCTCGCTCTGCCCCCCCCCCATCAGATCGTCCTGTGCAACCCGCTGTGCGTGGTCGGCTACACCGTCGCTTCGTGGCGGTTCTTCCGGGAGCGGATCGAGGACGAGGAACTCACGCTGCTCAACTTCTTCGGGGAGCAGTACATGGACTACAAGACGAACGTGCCCACTCGGCTTCCCTTCATCGACGGCTTTCGAGTAGAACTCTAGCTCCCGTTTTTGTTTCCTCTCGCCTCGCCCCCCCCCCCCCACCACCACCACCCGTTGAATCGCACAATTTTGCTCCGGCCTTTTTCCGACCGTCCTCCTCTCCCTCCTCCTGCTCATCCTCGTCCTCCCACTTGCACAAAGGAACAAACGTGCGTCTGCGAAGCAGGAAATTGCGAGCAAAGGACAACCATCTAAGCGATCGACGATTGGCAAAGGAAAAAAAAGACAAGACGGAATTAGCACGCGGCGTGCGATCGCACATTTTAGGTTACGGTTTTAGAAAGAGGACTGGTGAAAATGGGCCTGTAGCGCTGGCTACGCGTGGTGGCTTGCAACAGGTATCCTTGGAGCTTTTATTGCTTATAGGGTGTCCATAGGGTTTAATTATTTATTATTCCTCCTCATCGTCGTCTCTCCGTTCCACCAGCTCATCGGTGATGGTGGGAGGCGAACGCGTTTCCGGCGTGATTCTCTCTAGGGCCAGCATCGCTGCATACGTCCAATCTCGATTCTTTTTTCTTCTCGATTTGCTTTTACCCCAGCATCTATCCACCTGATTTTACTGTCTTCACCTCCGCCACTCCCCCTTTTTCCACCTTTGTGTCGCATCACCAAGTGATAGGGGACCCTGTCCGGGTTCGCCCCGTGTAACGTGACCGAACCACTGTTGTCTTCTCGCCTTGACTATCGTCCTACGAGGTCATTTTTCACTCCACTGTTTTCTCACATCGCGAGTTTTCTCGGCCTCTCTCGTTAAGACAGCTGCGACCGAGGTTGATTGTTTGGAGGTTATGAGAGAGGTGTGTTTGGCGAAAAAAAAACCTCCAAATATCTTGAGCGATCTCTCAGTGGCACTAAACAGAAGCGTTCAAAACAATCACAGCCGAGATGCTGAACACCTGGGATGCTCCAACACCGCGGCGGACACGCGGAGGTTCAGAGGGATGAGACTCGCATGGTAGAATCTTCACAAGACCAAGTGTGTGCGTCCGTTTATGTTTTCGTCAAAACGAGCTCACATTGCTCTCATATGTTTACAGTTCTTTGTTAGTCCACTGCTGGATAAAGTCGTCTGTACACCGTGTCGGTTTCAGGGGATTTTTTAAGCGTATTTCACCACACTGGTCCATGTGGTTTGGTAAAGTGAGAGGGTGCCCCAGGACCGGGCCAGGAATGTGATGGACCGCAGTGGAGGGGCTGAATAGTATTCGATGATGATGTTACCCACAACGCCATGCCTGCACTTATCTTATTATGCTTTAATCATGGATGATATTTTTACAGACGCCCTGTATAGCAACTGCTGTGTAACTTTACAGTTACAACATCTGAAGTGCACAGGGCACTTTGTAACGAGTCACAGTTGAGGGCAGCCGCGCTTAAGCATACTTCACGAAGCGCAGCACGACAGGCGACGTATTTAGCCAAGCTCCTGAAGAAGTGCCCAACGCGTGGAGCGAAACGTCGGACGTTGTGCCGGACAATTAGCACGGTTGGCTACGCACCTCCGGTGAGCACGGTTGGCTATGTACGGTGCGAAAGAAGTTCAACGTACATGCAGCAACACGTGGTACAACCCGAGAACGCATAGGAGAGCTGTACGGCGGCTAAACCTGAATCGGAACATTTATGCTGGAGAAATCCGATAAGCTATGAAGCTCTTTTTTTTCACAGGATGTCCAAACCGCGAGAACCTTCTCAGCGGCTGACTTGACAATTTTGCATCGCCCAGAAATCTGTTGCCGCTCTTGGTGAAGTTTTATACGGGAGGTTTTTTTTGTTGTTGTTGCGCTGACGGCCCAGTGCGGAGGGGAGGGCACTTGCCAATAACATCAGGTACAGCAGCAGGATTTGTTCAGCGAGCCCGACTCTGCTGATGAGCCCCAGAAGGGCGAAACCGGTCCCAGAATTTGCGTGCGTGAACAAATTGTTGCTGCCACTTGACGTAAGTCTGTAAATGTTTGAAATACAGAACAGGAAGCGATGTTTCATTTCGACGGAGCAGTCCTTGTGTTCGTGGAAGCGCCGCGCAATTGCTGCATCTGGGATTGGCTTAATAATTTAAAATTATTTTTTAATGCATCGTTTGACTGTTATATACAAATAATGGAGCAAATTCATAAAGGTGTATATGTTATACGGGTTACTTGGCAACGGTGTTTTTCAATTTCAGTCTGCGTGTGCCCGCCCCTTGCCTGCCCACAGTCTGCCTCTTTGTGATAACCAGCTTTTTCAATTCGTATGAAAATTAAGGCACTGCACGCACCTGATGATTGGAAATCGGGGGGGGGGGGGGGGGGGGGGGTGGGGAGCTGTCGCGTGGTGGGTCGTGAGAACTGGAGTTGAGAAGCGGTGCACTGGGAGTGTTTTCATTGGCAGCCCACTCGCCTGCGACCAAATCGTCAGAAATGTGCTCGTTCTCAGAAGCTAGCTGGGATTTTAGCCTGGGTAATAATAATAACAGTTTTGTCAACTTGGAATGCACCTCCGCACAGTATTCGCTCTCGAAGTGCGCAAAGATGAATGACTCTTAAAGGCGCACAAGGAATTCCAGATGAGCAGGGAAAAGTAGCCGGAACTGATCATGTGTTAATTCCCCCCCCCGCCCCTCTCAATGGTCTGCAGTCCTCTATATATATGAAGGTGTTATCGGTCCAATTAACGAGTGTTTGCATGTGGGATGAAACTGGAGCACTCGGAGTAAACCCACACACGCGAGGGGACAACACTCTATCCCCATGCAGATGGAACAGGTGGGAGCGCACGTTTGCAAGCCAGAATACGGAACCTCCTCGACGCCCACGGTGAAAGGGGGGGGACTTTCACAACTTTTGTGTGAGCCACCGACCCTCGCTCCCCGTAGTGCCGGATTACAGGCGTTTTAATCTAATTATGTAGAGTGTCTTCACTCGAGGGGCTTGGCATAGCTTGCTAAAGGGTGACAGAATGTGGAACGATGCAGTTGACGGCGGGATGTGCTCCCAAGGATTCGAGGAACGAGGGGCGGCGATAGAGCGGTGCTTGGGGATCACGAAAGGGTATGTAGAGGAGGGACGGAAAGGAGGGGGGAGGGGAAGAGAATGGGCAGTGGAGAAGAGGCGAGGCTTTAAGGTTACCGAGGAGGGACTGTTTCGTGTAAGAATGAACGCTCAACGCAAATTGGAAGCGTGGATGGGGGACGTTAAAATTTGTTTCAGGGCACCGTGCGTGCCGTCTCACCGTGCTGCGCGATCGCGTGCGGCGGCGGCTCGGCGGCTGGGCCATTCTCCACGAAAAGGAAATTTTAAAAAAACAACTCTCCGATTAATTGTCCTCCCACGGTTAATCGGGAGAAGACGTCGCATCGGTGCGTCGAGGCCTCCATTCCACGCGGTACCTTCTCGTTTTAGCCGAGAAACGGTACGGCACGGGTCACCAAATGGCAGTGACGGATCTCACAGGCTAAGCAGGGGTGGGTGGGTGGGTTTTCGACCTGGCTGGCAATTCGGGACGGAGTGAGTCACGGGGACTTTGCCAAGTGTCGGTGGAAGAACCTCCTGAGCTGCGTGGCGGGAAAGGGGGAAGAAGTTGGCTAAAGTTTCGAGCATCGCTCGCTCGCTCGCTCGTTGGCATGACGTGGGTTTCTTCCGGCTTCTCCGATTTCCTTGCACGACCACCGTTATAATTCACGCGTCTCGTCCACTTGACTAATCCGCCGAACGCAACAACCCCAAAAAAATGCGCGCGCGGTCGGTTGGCTGTGTACGGCGCGAAAGAAGTTCAACGCACGTCATCATTCTACTTCTCCCCCCCCCCCCCCGGGACAATGAGCTGCTGCGGGTTTATCAGGTGATAGTTGGCCCCAGAAAAAAACACCGCTCTCGTTTACGTAAATGTGAGAACGGCACGCGCGCGAGCGCGCGAGCGAGCGAGCGAAAATCGTAAACGTGCAAACAAAAATCTCTAAACAGTATTAAAGTGTGACGTTGATGCCGTCTTCATCACCGCCGCCACAGTCGTGCCTCGCTTGCAACATCAACGGCGCCGCGAGCTTTCGAGACGCTCGCTCTCTCTCTATGCAACTCTTTTCTCCCCTGGAGCAGAGGCGTCACAACACGGCATGGCGCGGCATCAACGTCGCCGGACGGGCCAAGGCCACCTCGTCGCGAGAGGGGGGGCAGCGGGCGGCTGCTCGGGGCGAAAGGGAAGTTTGCGGGTCTCGCCTCTGCGGCTTGAGGTCACCAAAGCGGACGCGGCGCTGCCTCCATCCTGTTACGCGTGGCGCAACGGGCGATTTCTGGAGCAGCGGCGTTTTTCCCCCCCAACGCCCAAGTCATTGTGACACACACACACCCCACCTCCTCCACGGCAGACCCATTGTTGATTACCCAAGCGGGGGCAGATCGAAGAGGGCCTTGTAATCCCACCACCACCACCTCCACTTTGACACGCGAGTTGGCTCCGTCAATAAGTACGTCCATCATACGTTCATGTGTTTTTTTGTGTTTTTTGTTTTACAAATGTTGGGCCCTATTTAAAATTAAAAAAAAACTTTGAATTGTGTGACTGCTTTCCCCCCCCCCCCCGCCTTGGGAAGTTTCTCGGCCCGCCTCTGTCACCAATCTTTCTGTGCAAATGAAGGCACAGCAAACGCCACATCTGGTGGGTGGTAATTGTCGCCCATGGGGGTGCAGTGGGGGAGGGTTGATGTCAGGAGTTATTATTATTTTACCGACACACCGACCCGAAGTCACCAAATCTCGTCATATCTTGCAAGCTGGGCTGTGTCGAGCCTGGTTATTACTTTGATGGGTGCTCACGACCCAGGCCTTGCCAGGTGTGGCCAGCAGATGGACGTGCTAAGTGTCCCTCTCCCCGTGTCAATCCATGGTGGGTGTTCTCCGGGTTCTCCGGCTTAGTTACACACGAAGCCGACGGGCCCATTCATGGCGGTGGTGGTTGGTCAAACATTTTAATGTGATGATCGGTTAGAGTCTTTTCCTGCTGAAATGGCTGACAGTATTTATACAGTAAGTGGCAATTTCGACAGCCTACACACAGGTTAACCGTGGTGGCTGGAATGGTTCTGCTTCGTTGGGGCTTAAAAAAGTCAGCAATCAGCTTTAAGCGTTAGAGGCGCTCGCACCGTTTGACGGCCGTGTAACCAAATACAGCTCCCCTGTTGTCTGCTGAAAGCACAACGCCGGCGTGGTGTTCGCGTATTTTCAAATGGGGGACTCAATTCGTCCCCGTTGGCCGAGGCGTCGATTGGTATTTCTATTCGGAGACGGTTTTTTTTTCACGTTCTACTCCCTCTCTGCGTTTGCCGTGCCCCTTAACGTCGCAGCCGCTGGACGCTTTGCCGGCCACGTACGCGGCTGTTTTGTTTTTGCTTCAAGCTGTGGTGCCCGAGTTTTTGTTGTTGTTGCTGCTGTGAAATCGAGAGCCGAAAGATGAAAACAAAGCGGGGAGAGCCGTCAGCAGGGCAGGGGTATTGCCGGCGAGATATTTCGGTTGCTTCGTGGCAATGCTCACTGCCGGATTATCGTAGCAGCACAAATAGCTACACGTGCAGTAGCTGCTTATGCAATAGCTACGGGCCCCGCACTTTCAAGGGCCCCGCGCTAAACGCTTTCAAGCTATCAATTCCGGTTCAGTGATTCTGCACTTGCTCTATTACTATAGTACTATACCGCCTTCAACTTTTATGAACAACTGAGTGTTTAAGGTGAGCGATTTGTCGTATTCTCTGTATAGCAAATGAAACAATTCAATTTATTATGCAAGTAAAAATGTGTTTTAATATTTGTGTTGTTTGTTATTTAGGACCCTTCTATAGCATATGCTGCAGGCGCCGCACTAGCTTAATCCGGCACTGGCAATGCCCACCGGCTTGCACAAACGAGCTGTTGTCGGTGACTTTGGTCTGGGTGACTACCTGCTGCTGTTGCCCGGTTTGCCGGCTGTGTTGCCAGCTGTGTTGCCAGCTGTGTTACCTGCGGCGTTACCAGTGGCCTTGCCAAGCTGCGTTTGCCAGTCGCTTTGGTAGTTGTGTCGCCAGTATCGTTCAAGCTCGCTCAGTTTCATCGTAAGCAGAGAGGACGGTCGAAGTGATGATGATGATGCAAACAAACTTATGCTGGATAAAGCATGGAGAATAATGTATTTACATTGTACAACTCTCGTGTCTTCGCTTGTGCACGTGACACCAACGCAGTGCTGTTGGTTTTCGTTTCTCTTTGATTTCCAGCTTCGGTTTCATTTGAGGAACTTCGCTCGTTGATTCCTCCACCCATGTTATGCATGGTTGTTGAACTTATTTCGCACCGTACGTAGCCAACCCTACTACTCATCGGAGGTGCGGGGAAAGGACAAGAAACTAACACAACAACAAGCAGTTCCAAATAAATGAATTTTCAATCTAGTGCATAGCTACAGCGGCTTCCTAGAATTCGCAAGGAAGAGTGTTCCAGACGGTCGCAGAAGCGCGCCTGGGGAGAACACGCAAACTCCAAATACTGCCTCCAGCAGGCGTCAGGGTCGGGATCGAACCCACGACCTCCTGTATACCAGGCGAGGTAGTCAACATCTCCGAGCCACCGTGATGATGATGAGAGAGAGAGAGACACGCAAACTCCAAATACTGCCTCCAGCAGGCGTCAGGGTCGGGATCGAACCCACGACCTCCTGTATACCAGGCGAGGTAGTCAACATCTCCGAGCCACCGTGATGATGATGAGAGAGACACGCAAACTCCAAATACTGCCTCCAGCAGGCGTCAGGGTCGGGATCGAACCCACGACCTCCTGTATACCAGGCGAGGTAGTTAACATCTCCGAGCCACCGTGATGATGATGAGAGAGAGAGACACGCAAACTCCAAATACTGCCTCCAGCAGGCGTCAGGGTCGGGATCGAACCCACGACCTCCTGTATACCAGGCGAGGTAGTCAACATCTCCGAGCCACCGTGATGATGATGAGAGAGAGAGAGAGACACGCAAACTCCAAATACTGCCTCCAGCAGGCGTCAGGGTCAGGATCGAACCCACGATCCTCCTGTATACCAGGCGAGGTAGTCAACATCTAGCCACCGCGGTGCCCAACCTTGCTCAATTCAAGACGCATTCATAACTTATGTATGACACATTCCATAGTGGCAGGCC